CAACACTATATCGTCTGCATAAAGAAGGAGATGTATATTCCCGTTTTTCCACCGTACGACAGTTTCTACATATATTAACCATTTAAACTCGTGGACAAAACGTAAGAAAGTTGTACCTTTTAGCGTGTATATCGAGATTAAGACAATAACTCTGAAAGATATATTTTATACGTAATGACCTTTATTGAAGACACACGAGATAACCAAGTTTGAAAAAATTGCCACTGTCATCAGAATATAAAACTTCCCTAAAGTTTGTTCATGAGTGTAGTTTTTTTTTTTTTTGCGTAAATAATTTTTAAAAATGTGAAGGCCTAGTTTAAATGGGAGGTGGTAGCATAAATCGTTCAGAGTTGTACGTATTAGATATTTTAAAAAGAGAAATTTAAAGAGATTGCTAATATAATATATAAAATTAAACTTTACTAACAATAATCTCTCTGCCTAAAGAAATAATTCTGTGGTGAAACCAGTTGCTTAAGTTTTAAAATATTGCTATAGAGAGAATAAAAAACCCTAACCAAGAGATAAACTTTAAATTGAGCCTTTTACTGCAAGGAAAAATAATTAGGGCACTTACAAACAGAATAAATGAAAACATTAAATAAACCACTTATATTTTTCAATAATACATAGTATATGTACACACACACACAAAACTCATTAATATAATCCCAAATTTAGGCTAATTAAACTTTTCGTTTATTCAAAATGTGGTATGTTAACTTTATTAACATCCTATAACACTATATCTCAAACTCAGGGATATTTGCGTCAATACATTTCTGACATCATATCAAATTGGCTATATACAAGGAGAAAGATCAAGGAGAAAAAAAGACAAACATACAAAAGCAATTCTCTCAAAATTTCCTTCCCTCTCATAATTTCTCATAATTAGTGCGGACTGTGCACTTTCCTGTATTGACAAGATGTCAATAAAAATATGCTAATTGTCTCTTTCCCAGTTCAAAAGATAGTTGTATATATATTTACAAAATTGGTTTAAATGTTTATATATTCTTTTCTCATTTACGAATTCATGTAGCTGTCCGATTCCACCCAATTTTCTTTACCTATTATCTAGAAAAATTGGGAATTCCAGAAGTAGATGCTTCGAGTCTTGAATTTCCCCTCTGCAGAAGCATTTCGGTTCCTTCACCGCGTCGATAGTTGCCAAATATTTCCCAAATTTCCACGATCATTGATAAATTGGACATTATAAAAATCTGGACGGAAAAAACTTGGAATTCCAAACACAAAAAAGCATTTAAATATTTCATTTGTATTGACAAAACTTCATTCATTTTTGACTCTATAAATGACGTGACTATACTTTGAGTATAGGGTTCATAAGTGATTAAATCTTCTGTTGATAGTTGAGCTAGATTATAATTGATTTTTATGGATTCTCTATAATCTGTTAGGAGTGGGAATTTTGCTAGACTATGTACACAGTTTGATGAAGTGGTTTTGTATGCTCTAACTGCCCATATAATGATATGATACTGCATATAATTCAGTTTTTGTTTACAACGATTGTTTAAAAATTTAAACCAGATATCTGAACCAAATCTAAGTACTGGGATTATCATTGTTTTGTATAAAGTTAGCCTCTTTTGAGTATTCAAACCCCACATATTGCCGCCTAGTGAATATAATAAATATCTCATTCGTCCTGCTTTACATAGGATCATTAACATGAGGTGTAAAGTTAACTTTATTTTTATTTTATGATTTGAAAATGTCATTCCTAGAATTTTTACTTGATTAACTGGCATTATTAAATTATTATTGATTTTAAAGGATTTTTTTTGCTTGTTATGTAGGTATAATATATTAGTTTTCTCTGTACTGATCGTTAATTTATTTCTATTACACCATTTAACCACATGTTTTAAGGTGTATTCATTTATGGTTTTTAATCCTTCTACAGTCTTATTCCAGCAAATTATTGTGCCATCATCTTCATAACATATGAGAGCTGCATTCAGAGATTCAAAATTTATCAACAAATCATTAACCGAAATATTGCATAAAAGTGGGGATAAAGGTCCACCCTGTGGACATCCTTTAGTTAATTTCTTACAAATAGTTGCTGATTCGTATGTAAATTTCATCACCCTTCCATTGTTTAAATAATGCGGTAGGCAATCTAGACGCCATCTATTGACCATCGCCGCAAACTAGCAACCTCGGGTCGGTGACAAAGCCACAACACCAGTTTAGGAAAACTGAGAAATTGAAGTCTAGTAATGCTTGGTGTAAGAAACATTCCTTTACCATTGAATTTTCTCCATAAATCAATAATAATCATCTCTCTATATATAATACTTGCTTAGAAAACCTTTCGTAATAAGTTTTTTAATATTGTAATATTATCATAAACAAACTTTTATTGCGGAAATTTTTGATCAGTTTATAATGATCATTTCATCGCAAAAATACTTGCTTAATTAACAAATCTATTATAACTTTATTATTTTATTTTCAATGCACATGGTGAAAATAAGATATAAGGAAAATAAACCCTATATTTAAAATTTAAATATTCTGTGTTACTATTTTATCAAGTGTATTTATGGGCAGAAGGTTTTTCTATTGTTGCAGATATTGTAAGCGAATCACATAGCTTCGGATGTATAAACAGTCCTACTTTGCACTTACAAAATACCAAAAACTCATTAGGTTACTTGCACTCAATAATAAGCTTGACACTATACATGAATCAATTAATTATTAACAGTGCACGCGCGATTAAATTTTAAAATTTCGTTACTTATGTTTGTTTTACCCTGCCGTTTTCAAAGATTAAAAAAAAACCCGTCAACCGACAATTCTAATATAGTTACCCAACCCAAATATCTACTATAATTGAGCACATAGTTATAAAAGAATGGATTATGAAAGATAATACCAGAACTTCATAGAAGTTTGGAGTAATGGAGATATCTGAGATGCCG